CCTGGCTCAGCCCCTCCCGCAGCGTCTCGAGCGCCCTTCGGAAATACTCGGCTGTTTCCGGATCGAGCCGAGGCCACGAMTGTCCCCGATTCTGTCCGGACGGAACCGAGCGATCGGCGGAGGGATCGGTGGGCGCCGCCATGTTGGGAAGGGAGAAACGCGCGAAATCTCGCGAGATCTCGGGGCTGTCAATCGGCACTGAGCGCGCCCACCAAGTGTCAATCAAACCGCGCCACGCCTCCTTTTTTGATTATTAATGAGCTTTTGGCTGTCAATCATCGATAACCACGCCCATTAAAACAGCACCGCACCTTCTTTTTTAATTATTAATGAGCTCTCGGCTGTCAATCAGCGATAACCACGCCCATTAAAACAGCACCGCGCCTTCTTTTTGAATTATTAATGAGCTTTTGGCTGTCAATCAGCGATAACCACGCCCATTAAAACAGCACCGCGCCTTCTTTTTGAATTATTAATGAGCTTTCGGCTGTCAATCATCGATAATGACGCTCACTAAGTGTCAATCAAACAGCACCGCACCTTCTTTTTGAATTATTAATGAGCTTTTGGCTGTCAATCATCGCTAACCACGCCCATTAAAACAGCACCGCGCCTTTTTTAATTATTATTGAGCTTTCGGCTGTCAATCAACACTGAGCACGCCCACTAAGTGTCAATCAAACAGCACCGCGCCCTCTTTTTAATTATTAATGAGATTTTAGCTGTCAATAATTGATAACCACGCCCCCTAAGTGTGAATCAGAGAGCACTGTCAATCAGCACTGACCACGCCCACTAAGTGTCAATCAAACAGCGCCACGCCTTTTTTAATCATTAATGAGCTTTTGGGCTGTCAATCAGCGATAACCACGCCCATTAAATGTTAATCAAACAGCACCACGCCTTCTTTTTTAATATTAATGAGCTTTTGGCTGTCAATTGTCGCTTACTTTTTAACATTTTACCTGTCAATCACCGCTAAACCCCGCCCATTTCCCAGCGCTCCGTGCGCTCCTTTTCCTCCCCCCCCTCGGTGTCCCCTCCCCGCCGTTCCCCCCTCCCCGCTCTCCCCGCTCCGCCCGTTCCGCCTCTCACCGTTCCACTTCCCCTTCCCCCGCTCTTTTATTATTTTATTTTATTTCTATTTTTTCCCCGCCATGTCGGAATCGCTGAGCTGGTGCGTGGAATCGCTGCAAAGCGGCACCGAACCCGCGCTGTCGCGGGCGCTCTCGGCGCTGCGGAGCCGCCACACGCGGCGGGCGGGAGGCCCCGCTCGCTTCCGCCATGGCGGGGGTCTCAAACCCCTCCTGGAGCTCGTGGATCCGCGGAGGCCGCGGAGAATCCTCGACCTCGCGTTGAGCGTCCTCGGGAATTGCTGCACCGAGCGCGGCTGCCGCCGGGAAACGCGGAGAATCGGGGGGATCCCGCGCTTGGGT